CGAGCAAAAATGTTTACAAAGATATGCTATGGATATACTGGAAGCCTAAGAGGAGATTTTCATGGCCAAATAACGAAAAATTACAAAGAGAAGGAAATAACCATTTTTTAAGTGAATAATGACTGACCCAAAATAAAAAATAAAATAAAATAAAAAATAAAATAATAGTAATAATGAAAAACTATGCGCCACATTATTCGTACACGCCGGAATTAAAATGGAAATTAAAGAGAAATATGCAGTGTGAAGTAAAAATGGTTAAAAAGTGAATTAATACAGACGGAATTTGATGCCAGGAATTTGTGCCAAAATCATTTGATGGTAGGAAAACTTATCATAAACTAATCTTGATGTTCAAGTATCGCTGCCCCTAGAGGCAATAAAAAACGGGACGGCAAAAAAGGTACTTTATTTGATTGTCGAGGTATTTACTACGGCAGAATTAAAACAACCCTTCAAACTGATCCGTCACAAATTTACTGGAGACTCTAGATTATTGCATCGGTACTATTCTTGATAGAGCTGTTGAAGTAGATTGTGTGTATTTAGACATGTCCAAAGCCTTTGATAAGGTTAGACATGACCTCCTTACGGAAAAACTGCGGAATGCTGGCTTCGGAGGGAACCTGCTCACATGGTTTCACGCGTATCTCTGTGGCAGGCGCCAACGTGCCACCGTACTAGGCGCGACATCACGTGACCTACCTGTCACCTCTGGAGTCCCACAGGACCTGCTCTCTTCTTGTTATATGTGAACAACCTTCCAGATTCTATCCTCAATAGCAAAGTAGCAATGTCTGCAGATGACACTAAAGTATACAAGGTAGTGATGTCTGAGGATGATGGCGCTGCTGTCCAACAAGATCTGGATAAACTGTCTTCATGGTCTGCTGCCTCTGGGCTAGCCTTCAATGATAAGAAATGCAAGCTTCAGACCATTACGATGAAACGCAAGCCCATCTGTACGAGCTACGAGGTTAACGGCAGTACCATCAAGTCCAATGAGGTAGAGCGTGACTTTGGCGTCTCCTTGGACTGTGACTTGACTTGGCACGCCCAAGTCTCTCACCAAGCTGCACGCGCAAACAAGCTGTTAGGTTTCGTTAGGAGGAACTCTAGGTTTATTCACAGTATTCCCGTAAGGCGCACATTATACCTAACCCAGGTCTGGGCGCCCCAAGGCATTGAACTAATTTCTAAACTCGAAAGTACCCAAAGACGTGCCACCAAATTCATTCTTTCCTTGCCTTTTTTAACAAACATCTCTTACAAAGAAAGACTAATGT